AATCGGAGATGTTGCGATGGTGACAGTTGTGATTTCTTCGCGTTTATCACAAGGCCTGCCTCTTTGAGGTCCAATATCACCTGCTGGCAGATTGCTTGCGCATCGGCTTTCGACTGGCAGAGAAATAAGATGTCATCCACGTAAGGTACGACTCGGATGCCTTGTTCTCACCAACGCCGAGCTAGTTGCTTGATGAGCTGTGTAAAGACAAATGGAGCCGTCGCGAGGCCGAATGGTAGTGAACGAAAGGCGTATGTGCGCCTATCGAATTCGAAGCCAAGGAACTTCCAGCACGATGGGTGGATGTCGATGTGATGGTAACCAGATTTGAGGTCAATGGAGAACATCCAGTCCCCAACGCGCGCCAGGTCGGCGACACGGCTGAGCCCCTCGTACTTGAACTTGGGGACAATCAAGTTGGCGTTGACCTTTCTCAGATCAAGAATGAGCCTGCATTTGTCTTTTTGCTCGACCACGTTAAGTGGACTTATGCACTTGAGTTCCGTTGCGGCCATCGGAACTGCCGCTCCCGTCTCTATGAGTTCTTGGATTGCGGTACGTGTGAACGTGGCATGCGTGTTCGCCCCGACATGATTGCGATCGTGGAAAGGTTGTGGTGGGCCGTGGCTCCATGGCAACCAGTAACCCTTGGCGATGACGGAGAGAACGAGGCTGCTGGGGCACCATGAGCTCCACCACGCAAAGGTCGCGCGAAGACGACCGCGCATCTGTGTAATGGTTCTGTCTGTAACGGCAAATTCGTACGGGTCATCGTAGCCTGCCGCCTCGCACCGTCGTGCTCCTGTGCATGGGAGGCCAAGTGGTATACGGGTTGAGTATTCCATGTTAAAGCATGCGTGTGCATGTACATGTACGGGCAGCCCTTGATCAAATGTGTGAAGAAAATAAAAACCGACGGAAATGTCAACGAATGTGTCGGGCGCGAAACGACGCTTCTTCTTCTCCTCGTTTCCTCCGCTTTTTTTTTTTTTTTTTGCCCATCGTGCACTCGGTAGGATGTGGTTGTGCCTGCCCTTAGTGCATGGGAGATGATGCCTATGGCCATGGACACACTTGTCCATTGTGTTTCTCTTATTCACTCTTGTTCTCTCTCTCTCTTTCTCTCTCTCTCCCTCCATCTCTCTCCCTCCCTCTCTCTCTCTCTCTCTCTCTCTCTCTCTATCTCTCTCTCTCTCTTGCTCTCTCCCTCTCCCTCTCTCTTTCATGCTCTCTCTTACTCGTAGTTCGTGGGGGCTGGTGCGTGGAATCATGGACATGCGTGCCCACCATGTTGTATCTCGTTCTTTCTCTTTCTTTCTCTCTCTCTCTCGCTCGCTCTCTCTCTCACACACACACACTCTCTCTCTCTTTCTGATCCTCCTCTTGATTGTTTCAGAGTCTCTTTGCCAAAACAGTAGGCCTTTAAGAAGGTTTTTTTTTTTTTTTTTTTTTAATCAAATCAACCAACACACATAGCAATGCTCTCCTAGCATGCATCATGCTACTGAGTGGTGAACTACATGGGACCGAGGGGGTTGTTGCTCCCCTTCCCTATCCTAGGCCCAAAGCCTATTCCTACCCTTCAATAGGGCTGGCCTCTTGCCATCGCAAACCCCTAGGGTTGCCCACGGTTTTCGCACTCAAGAGTGCACCGTGCCTAGCGCTCAAGCGCCTATTCCCATGGCCCGCTCCTACACCACCGGAGCGGGTCCTTGGCCGCCGTGCCCGTTCCTAGGGCAGGCACTTGCCACGTGGCCCGCCTGACCGCAGCAGAAGCACGAGCCCCGGAACTCGCGGCAATTGGCCGTGGGCGGGGGGCCCCGCTTGGGTAAAAACGGCAACGGCGCGTTGTTTCCGCCGCGGTTGGCACGAGCATATCCGCTTGCCACACGGTCCATTGCCGCCATGTCTGCGACCGCCTGCTTGAAGGGTCGAGAAGTCAGCAGGCTCTTCTGCTGCTACAGCTTGAAGCGCTTCGCCGTGCGGAAGTCGGATGCGTCCTCCACTTGAAGCACCTCAAAACGCCCCGAGATGAGGTTCAGAGCGTGCGAGATGAGTTCGAGTCCGCCCGCTGGGTCTCCGCGCTGCGCCTTATATTCCGCGTGCAGCAGGTACGCGCGTAAGTCCTCCAGCAGCTCCGCTTGCTCTCGCACGGAGTCGTTGACGAATGTTGCCGCCGAGAAGGTGAGGTTAGAAGAAGGGAGGGGGGGAAGGTGTTCCGTGCCATTAAAATTAACATTGTTGACTGGAGCCTCACCGGCGTCATCTTCAGAGTCGTCGGTGTCGTTGTCGACCACTGGAGCGGGGGGTGCTGCTGCTGCTGCGTCGTTGTCGTGCCGAATGGTCCTTGCTCCTCGCGCGCCTTTTTCCTTTTTCGCATTTTCTTTTTTAGCCGACGCAAATGCAGCGGGTAGTGCAGTTTCCGCGGCTGTAACGCTGACGGGCTGTTGCTGTAGAAGGGACAGCAGCGCGTTGACCTGGTCCGGGGTCAACGCCTGCGTCAACGCAGGGGCGGTCGTCGCGTCAGACGAGGAGACCGCCGTCCGCCTCCTCTGGCGCTGACGCGACGGTCCAGCCGCGGGTGCTGGCGTGTGCTCGGCGTCAGTGGCGTGTGCCACGCCCGCGGCCGTCGCCACTTGCGCCGCAGGTGCCACTAGCGCCACAGGCACCTCAGGCGCCACTGGCGCCGAAGGGTGCTGCTGGGCGTTGGCCGAGTTGTTGACCTCGAGCCCGCCCAGCAGCATGTCCACTGCAGTCGGGGCGGGCGGTCCATCTTCTGCCCGTCGCTTGTTACGGCGTTCGCCCGCCAAATCGCGGGTGTTACGGTCGTTGTCGGAGGCGGGGTTGGACGAGTTCCCGTTGTTAAGTGTCGGCGTCGGTGCCATCGTTGAGCGATTGAAGTTAAAAATATCGTTAAGTAAGGTCGAAGGTGACTCGCCTCTAGGAAGCGATTTTGTTCTAGCCAGCTTGGACGGAGGGATAAACTACGTGAGCAGAAATGTTGAGTGAGCCGTTGGAAAATCGAGAAACGTGGGTGGAGGGAAATGAATTCCAACCCACGGTTTTTGTAGTTGGAGAAGGGCGTTTAGCGCGCTTCGACGATGCAAATTGTGCAGTAGAAGCAGCTTCGCTTTCACAATACACAATTAAAAAAAAACACAATGTGTGTTTAAAAATTATAATATATATAGTTTGACATAAGGTCTGCGGTTAGAGGCCACCGGGCTTTCTCTTGAAGACTATGTAACCAAGTTATCTGTTTGAAAATTAGTTTGATTTCTTTGTGGAGTGGACCTTGGAAAATCAGGCTTCTTTTTTTTTGGAACACTGAAAATGAGATTATTTTTTCACAGGGACCCTGATGCATCAACGTCCCTAAAATTGAATCTGAGGGCCTGATAGGGACTACACATCTATACTACAGGGAATTATAGAACTAGATGTATAACTATATATGTTGACAAGAATGACATATTTCTAAAAATTACGGTACGATGACCCCTTTAATATTTGGATATGATAGTGTGTATGATGTGATTTAGATACTAATGATGTGTTTATATGATGATTATGCTTCTCAGTATCAATGATTTTCAAGCACAATAGATTGAACATGTTAGTTAAAATAGATCCTCATAGTAATAGTAAGTTGATCATATTCCTCGTTTAACAAAACTGGAAACCTGGGGTCCCAACCGATAAGAGTCGTTGTACTAGAGCTTATAATCTGGCTACATGGCTCCACAAACCCTGACCTCAGCTTTTCCGAATTGCTCTCGCCATCGCTATCTGTGAGCGTCAGTCGTTCTGCACGCAGCCCACCGTGAGCCATCGATCTCGTCATGCTGACCTGGTAAGGACGACTCAGATGAATGGACTCACACATCCCTATCGTCGAGGTCAACCAGTCACCCTTCAAAACCGTCAACCTCGAAAGCAGAACCGGACCAGATCAAGCTAGCCTCGACGTGTTCGACGAGGCAGACTACAAGGTTTGACGCAGGTTTTGTTGGTGGTGAATGAAGCAGTCAACCTATCACAAACTGGCTTATCCAAACCGAGCCTGTGTCAGACATGCTTCCACGAGCCAAAGCTACTGAACCTGGCCTCGGAATCACTTGAAGTCATAAATTTCCATGTCAACAACATGCTCAGTGAACTGACTGCACAGGGAGGAGTTGCCAAGCACAAACAAGTGGGCTCGTCCGCAGCGGAGTTTAGGAGCCATTGTTTCGTTGCTGGCGCTCCTCGCATATTCTTGTTGCATTACGCTCACGGAACAGCCAATAAGAACACGGCATCCCAGAGTATTCTAGGCTCGTTTCCTACGTCCCAGTCATGGACACGTTCACTGTGCGCGTCGGCGCGGGAAGGCCTTCCGTAGATGCCGCGCGCAACTCGCTGATTGTAGGTGGTCAATTGTAGCTGGTAGCTCGCTACTTAATTGTAGCTGGTAGGTGGTCATTTGTGCTGTCAATGGTCGATTGTAAGTGACGCATCCACTCGTGAAATGGTAATATCGAGATACAGGCGGTTTAATCGACAAATGCGAGAATTGCATAGATTATTCGTCCTGAATCACTCCGACTTTCAAGTGTCGACTCCAACCCTGACTTGCTGTTCTTCTGCTGCTGCAGACGTCACCGTTGCTTCTCGAGGAACCCATCCGGCTGGCCTCGATATTGGAACACTCTCACTATCACGTAATACCTCAGCCGTCGCAACTTCTCCTCGTTGTAGTAGATTGCACGTGTCGTCATTGCCATCACATGTGTCTTCATTGCTTTCGTTTGCACCTTCATGAGTACCAGTTTCTGTTCGTTAAAGTCACTCTACCAGACGTCCCCCCGTCGGCGATCCACGGGGTTTTAAGTCGGTCGTAATAGCATACGGACAGCATGCTCTAGTACCTCCCTTTCCTTTTTCATCAAGCGTCACACCTCGCTCACATTCCGTAATTCTCTATATCGCGTACGTCGTGAACGCCAGAGGTCGGTTCCATGCCTGACCAAGATCGTGGGGACGGTAGGCGGCAACTCGAAGACCGTGGAGCAGCTTTCGGCTTTGCTCGAAGCGGGCATGACAGGTGCCTGCGCGAGTGCTGGGATGAGGGAAAGAGGAAAGACGGGGTGGGGAGGTATGCGGACGATATGCATGACGCATTTGCGTAATTATCATTGGAGCGGTGGGAAACGAAACGGGGTTGATTAGTGAGGGAGTGAGCTTGCTATGCGTACGGGGTCAAGAATCGCCGTTCCCCTTTCTACAGCTTTGATTGCGTGATTACATGTCCTGCACACCCGTCATCGCTTCCCACCCCTTCCTCCCCAAACCCCCACCAACAACCAAACTCCCCCTTCCCCCCCCTTTCCCTCCCCCTCCCCTCCTCCCTTCCCTCCCTCCCTTCCTTAGTCCTTCATCAACCCGATTTTCGTCCCCGCGGTCCACCTGGCTCCGTTCAGCTGCCCGCTATGCTTTCTCAGAGAGTAGCATTTCCGGTGGCGCATTAAAGCCTCAATCCCGTCCCTCTCCCTTCTCTTCCCCCACCGTTCTGCGTCTCCTGCACTGCCGTCTGTCGCCCCCGTCCCCCCACCCCTCGCCCCCCGCCTGACAGCTGCACTCTTTGCTTTCTTCGTGAGCAGCATGTCCGGTGGCGCATTAAAGGCTCGCTTCCGTCCCTCTCCCCACCGTTCTGCATCTCCTGTACTGCCGTCTGTCGCCCCCGTCCCCCACCCCTCATTCACCCCCTGACAGCTGCACGGTTCGACTTTTCAGTGAACGACCAGGAGAACCACCAGGAGACGTACGACAACCTGCGGGAAGCCATGAAGAAAACGCACCGCATGTGCGCGGTAAGACTGGCTTGATCGTGATGAGATGAACACTACAACGGGTTTAGGGTACTGCCGCCGCCCACCCACTGACAGGCACAGCACAGCCTTGAGAAAACCACCAGCACCAGCACCAGCAACAGCAACAGCAGCAGCAACAGTAACAGCAACAGCAACAGCAACAGCAACACTTATGGCATGGCAGTCAGTCAGACTCAGCACCCATAACGTTACGTAAAAGAATGAACGGGCTTTTATTCTTACCATACCACCACCACCTCACCCTTCCTCATGCCCCACCTCAACCCCCAGAGACTGCATACGACACGCACGGGCCTGAGATCACCATCTTCAACAGCAGGAGTGCCGCAGTGACGATCACTCGAGACACACATGTTTACTACCGGCATCCAGGCGTTGATCCGTGTGTATCCTATTCCCACCCCACCCTCATTCAGGTTGTGTACGACACGCACGGTCCCGAAATCACCATTTTCAACAGCAACAATGCCACAGTGACCATGACAGCGGGCAGCACGGTGGTGCTGTCGGGCGACAAGGACCAACCCGTCACTGCCAACGCGCTGCCCCTCGCCTGCCCTGAGCTCGCCAAGGTGTGTGTGTGTGTGTGTGTGTGTGTGTGTGTGTGTGTGTGTGTGTGTGTGTGTGCGCGCTCGCGCGCACGTGTGTTTGCGTGTGTGTGCGTGTGTGTGTGTGTGTGTGTGTGTGTGTGTGTGTGTGTGTGTGTGTGTGCGCTCGCGCGCACGTGTGTTTGCGTGTGCGTGCGTGTGTGTGTGTGTGTGTGTGTGTGTGTGTGTGTGTGTGTGCATGCCTGCGTGCGTGCGTGCGTGTGTGTGTGTGTGTGTGTGTGTGTGTGGGCGTGCACGGGCTCGTGCACTTGCGTCTCTTATTTCCCTCCATCACCATCGTTCTGTCCCCTATCAGTGTCTCTCCATCACCATCGTTCTGTCCTCTCCATCAGTGTTCTTCTCTCCCTGCCACCTCCCAAACCGTGAAGCCAAGCACATGTCCTTACACAGTCTCATCCCTGCTCCCGTCTCTCGTGCGCCCCCGTGCAGTCTCCAAGCGCTGAAGCCGGCGGACGAAGTGTTTGAGGAGCGCTACCTTTCACAGGCAGCGAGACCACCAGCAAGCACATGCTCTCAATCACTCACCTCAACTCACACCACCTCCCGTCACCCCCGCCTCTACCCTCCCCAAGCGGTGAAGCCAGTGAACGAAGTGTTTGTGGGGCGCTACCTTTCGCAGGCAGCGAGGCCACCACCAGGCAAATCCACATGCTTTCAGCCAATCACATCTGACCCCCCTTCCGCCCCTATCTTTCCCCTCCCTCCCTGCCTGCCCAATGCTCATCCCACTCCAGGCGGTGAAGCCAGGGGATGAGGTGTTTGTGGGGCGCTACCTCTTCACAGGCAGCGAGACCACGTCTGTGTGGCTCAAGGTGAGCAGGGCCGTCAAAATACATATGCATGCATGCAAGCAAGGAAGTCTATCCTATACATGGGCAAACGAGTCGAGTTTTTCCTCGACTCGTTCGAGGGACTCGAAAAGCTCGAGTTTCGAGTTTGTTGTTTTGTAAAAAAAACTCGGTTGCTCGAGTCGAGTTTTGCTCGCGAGTCAAAAAAACTGGTGAAAAACTCGGCTACCAAGCAAGTTTTTTCAAAACTCGCAAGTTTTTGGGGCTCGTGAGCATTTTGCCACCAGATCCGCCCGCGCCTAGCATTCCGCCGCTAGATCCGCCCGCACCTAGCATTCCGCCGCCAGATCCAGCCGCCCCTAGCATTCCGCCGCCAGATCCGGCCGCACCTAGCATTCCGCCGCCAGATCCGCCCGCACATAGCATTCCGCCGCTAGATCCGCCCGCAGCTAGCACTCCGCCGCCAGATCTGAACGCACATAGCATTCCGCCGCTAGATCCGCCCGCACCTAGCATTCCGCCGCCAGATCCGCCCGCACATAGCATTCCGCCGCTAGATCCGCCCGCACCTAGCATTCCGCCGCCATATCTGCCTGCACCTAGCATTCCGCCGCTAGATCCGCGCGGCATTTCCTTTCACTAAACTGGTTTCGTGGGGTGGTGGGTAAGGGGGGTGTTTAACAACGAGTCGAGTTTTACTTGACTCGGACGAGTTTTCTTTGAACTCGTCCGAGTGTTGAAAAAACTCCGTAAAATGGTCGAGTTTCGAGTTTGCTTTGTGGCACAAAAAACTTCCCAACCCCTCCCCACCCATTTGCAGGTGGAGGAGGTGAAGGGGGATGACATAGTGTGCACGGTGACCAACACAGCAGAGCTCCAAGGGGAATTCTTCACCGTGCATGCTGCTCAGGTACAGCCCGTCCCCATCCTCTGCTCTGCTCTGCTCTGCTCTGCTGCACACAATCACTCACACCCTTCTCTTTCACTGGATTCGTCCCATAAAGGGTGGGCACGGACGGGCATGCTTCTTGCCTTTTGAGTTTCTCTTGCTCCCATCTCCTCTCCTCCTCCCTTCGCTCTCCACTCCACGATCCATCCATCGCTCATGCCCATCGTGTCAGTAATGGACAGGTGGGCCGCGGAGGCCTAAACAACATGAGTTGATGGAATGGAAGTAAGGCCTCCGAAGCTCACCTGTCCGTTACTCACACTCCACTCCACGATCCATCCATCGCTCAAGGCTCAAGCCCAAGGATCAAAATTACGGCTACCGTATTATACGGTCCGTATAATACGGTCGTTTTTTACGGCAAGAAATTCAAAAATACGCCGTATTTTTGATAGACTGTTTTTCTGGTTTTTTTTTTTTTTTTTTTTTTTTTTTTTTTTCCCGTACCAATGCTCTGAAAGGTACACACTACATTAGCATAGCATAACAACAGAACAGATGGTTTCAACACTACTCGACCATTCCCACTACTACCGTACCATCCACTACTCTTTACTTTACACCTCCTACCCTATCCTATCCTTCTCTAGCTCTCTCTCCTCCTCCAACTTGTAACCTTCTCTCTTCTCTACTCATCCTCCTCCTCCTCCTCCTCCTCCTCCTCCTCCTCCTCCTCCTCCTCCTCCTCCTCCTCCTCCTCCTCCTCATCCTCATCCGCCTCCTCCTCTTCCTCCCCACTAGACCCGTCACTAATGTCCCAAGGATCCGCGCCATTTCGAGCCTTGGTGGGCACGTCCTCCTCCTCCCCTCCACTGCTATCCGCCGCCTCCTCCTCCTCACCCTCTTCCTCTCGCACGGATGTTGCCTTCCTCTTTCCCTTGGTAGGCTTCTTGGCCTTCCCGTTTCTCTTCCTTTTAGCGGTCTTTGGCCCCTTCTTCTTCCGCTTCCCAATGTTCCCGAATAGGTCCCAATCAATGGTGCATAGCTGCTCATTCCCCTCTCCCTCCTCCTCGTCGTCCCCCACTTCCTCTTCCTCTGCTGCTGCCGGTTCCACGGCACTCCCTTGCTGGAGGGTGCCGTTGGCCAGATCGGCATAAAGCTTCTCCCTCTGCCGTGATTTCCTATCGAAAGCATCCCTGGCCCTCCTGGCGAACGCCACCTTAGTCACATCCATCATCTTGTTGGCACTGAGGCGGTTACGGTCCCGCCTCTGCACCCGTGCAATGGCGGACCAGTAGCGTTCGACCTCAGAAGACGTGACTGGCTGTGACAGCACCGTCACAGCCATCCCCATGAGCGCTCGCAATTCCCCCCCATACATCAGCCACCACTCTGCCTCCGTCAAGCGCCCACTCGCCACCAACACCGTTGCTGCCCAACGGGCATCATCGGACCCTATCAGCCCCTCTCCTTTATGAAACTGCGTCAACTGCGCCAACAGCAGCGCGCGTTGTGCGACGTCTCCCCCACGGGCCTGGATCACCGCTTCCGCCCCAAGCCTTACCTCGGGATCGTTCTTCACCTCTTTGCCGTACTGATTGCGCGGGTTCAGAAGCCACCCCATAGCATGGAGTGGATTGTGGAGCTGGGAGTCCCACCTCCTTGCTATGATAGCCTTGATGGCGGCCAGAAAGGCCGGCTTGTCTTTGGCCGGCAAGAGAGCGGTGCGTTTCAGCATCATTTTGGCTGCCCATGGGGAGAACCGGAGAGCACGAGGTGAGCACAATTGGCGGGAAGGGTATACAATAGCCAGAACGTGCGGCAATTCACAGCTTACCTGCCGCCTCTGCCGCATTGTTTGTCTTCACCGTGGCATCTAGCATGAGGCCATAGATCTGGCCCATGACTAGAGCACGGGTGTCAACCACCCGCAGCACTTCATACACGGGTGTCATGAGGCGGAGGACCGCTGTCGCGCACTCCCAAAAGACCTCATCCAAGAGGAGCTGGCGGACAGCTCGCCCCTCCTCAGACCGCGCCACCGCCACCGACTCCCACTCCTCACTGATGATCATCTCCTTGAGCGCTTTCTTTACTTCCAGGAAGCGGGCAAGCATGATAACTTGCGTGCCGAAGCGTGTTGCACCGGGCCGCACCAAGGACAAAGTGCTAAACAACTCGTGGAAGAGCGTGACGGCAGACGCGCTTCCCTTGACGATCATAACCACCCTGTGCACCTGGTTGAGCACTCGCCGCACAGCACGGACCCTCCCGATGTCGTGGAGCATCAGGTCCAGGACGTGCGCCGCACAGTTGTTGAAAAACACTGCAGGAAAACCGTCCCGGAGGATGTCGGCCGCCCTACGGTTGTTGGACGCATTGTCCATGACCACCTGCACCACCTTCTTGTCTCCAACCTCGGCGATTGAGGTCCGGATGAGGCCGGCCAAGTACTCCCCCGTCTTCTTCGCGGTCTTGGAGTCCACGGTCTTCACGATGACAGGCGCCGTGTCATTGTGGGCTATGACACACACGAGCCCACGGCTCTTCATGCAGGTCCAGCCGTCCACGGAGATGGTGCAGCCGCTAGTGTTCCAACTCTCCTTCAGGGGCCTTACAAGGTCCTCGGTATCCGCTACCAGTTTTTGAAGCAAAACACCAGAAACCCTGAAGGGGGATGGGAGGGTGTATTGTTTCCCGAAGGCAACAGCCGCATCCACGAAGTTCTGCACGGCTGGCGACTTGGACGTGTGGAACGCCCAATCGTTATCAGCCACTGCAGCGGCCCATAGGTAGTCCAGTCGAGCGCGTGCAGAGTCATCCACCATGTCGCGGATGTCCCGCTGTCGAGTGCGGCGAGAGGGCTGGATGTCTAGGGTTGAAGTGGAGCCAAGGGTTGACGGAGTGGTGCTTCCAAAAAGCTCATTAGTAGCTGCTTCCTCGCGAAGTTTGATGGCGACTTCGTGGGTGCACGGCGTCACATTCTTATCTTTGTCCTTCGGCGTCCCATAGATGTGCTCTCCTATGCGTGTAGCATTAGCAGTCACGGATTCGGAGCAGTGTACGCATTTCGCCGTTAAGGTGCCGTCTGGTCCCTTAGTCGTTGTAACGTGCTTCCACAGCGGCGATTTCTGCCTCGCCATGGCGTACGTCCTGACAGGCACGAACCCTAGTGGAGCACCCTGAAGACTAAACTAGAGCAGAACTATGCTCAGAATATGATTAGGAGTGGCTAAACCGAGCTCCTAAGTACCTCGTTGTGGAAGGTGGGTGTGTTGTGTCGAGTGGGTTTTTGAAAAGGTTGAGTTCACGGGATGTATTCTGATTGGTTAGATTGGTTTCGCATCGCGACTTTTGGATGTGTCGCGACTGCGAGCGAACCAAACCTTCGCCGTGCGAAAATGTTTAACGAAAATCACAAAACGTGGGGTCGAATGGGTACCGTTCGCCACATGTTAGAATGTCGCGCCTCGGGAAATTGTACACGTTCCGCTTTGGCGACTCATGCCAACGAGTTGGCGAAACACGTAAACTCGAAATTGGCCTCGCCAAATGCCCAAATGTCGCGACGCGAAAGAGTCGTGACATTTGCGACGCAGGGAAAAAACACATTCGTGTGTACGGTTGTGAGAGAAAATCACGGTTGGGAGAAATGTGCGTGTGACACTATGATTCCTGATATACACAGACCCGGTTTCAATTTTTCGGTCGAATTATACGGTCGTATTTTTGAACCAAACACAAAAAACCTCAATCCACCGTATTAAACCGTATTTTACGGTCGTATTATACGATTCCGTATTATACGGTGAAAATTCAATAATACGGTCGTAATTTTGAACCTTGCTCAAGCCCATCCCCTGCAAGGCATGGGCTTCACAAAGTCACACGCTCCTTCCCTCTCGCCCTCCTCTTCTCACACAGGTAGAGGCGAACATGCCCATCCTCTCCAAGGTGGACGACCGCCACCTGTCCCATCCCCTTCCACTCCCTTCCACTCCCTTCCACTCCCTTCCAGTCCCCTCACTCCCACCCTCGCTCCTCGCCCCGTCCCATCACAGGTGGACACGGACATGCCCATTCTCTCCAAGGTGGACGAGCGCCGCCACTCTCTCCCATTCCCTTACATCCCGATCCATTCCCTTCCATTCACTTCTCCTCTCACACTTGACTCAACCCATCTCAGGTTGACACGGACATGCCTATCCTCTCCAAGGTGGACGAGCGCCACCTGTCCACGTGGGGAGTGAACTGCTTGCCGCACATCATCTTCCTCTCCTTCACTCGCAACGCAGAGGATGTCAGATATGTGAGTCACTGATTCTAACACAGTGCACACCTTGTGCTTGCTGCACATCATCTTCCTCTCCTTCACCCGCAGCGCAGAGGACGTCAGATATGTGAGTCGATTTCATCTAACACGAGAAACCACACACATCCTGCCTGTCACACAACATGTGAGTGAGAGAATGCACAGATGCTCCCCATCCCTCTCCATCCCTCCCTATCCCTTCCCATCCATCCCTCCCCATCCCTCTCCATCCCTCCCCATCCGTCCCCATCCGTCCCCATCCCTCCCTCTCCCCCCCCATTCAGGCCGTCCTCCCCAACCCTGCCAGGGGTCACACGCAACTACCTCTTGTCACTATGTTAGCTCATGTTTCCTCCTTACTCCCCTCCTCTCATCCCATCCCCATCCGGGCATCCCTCCCCATCCCATCTCCATCTCTCTCCATCCCTCTCCACCCCACTCAGGCGCGCAATCACCTCGCCCAACTGGGCAAGCTCTCGCAGTCCTTCATCTTTGCTAAGATCGAAAGCATTCAGGTGCGCCCACCTTGTGCCGCTGGTTGTGCTGTGCTGTTGTGTTGCTTCTTGAATCAGCTAGAACTCTTCCAAAGTAAAAAGGCCATGGGTCACACTATGAATCTGCTTGAGTGTGCACAGCACAGCGCAACCATTGGCATATCACAACAACACAGCACAGTGCTCAAAAGACTTGTGCATGTGTACATGTGCGTACGTGTGTGTGTGTGTGTGTGTGTGTGTGTGTGTGTGTGCGCGTGTGTGTGTGTGTGTGTGCGCGTGTGCGTGTGTGGGGGGGGGGGAAGGTGCTTGATGCACGCATGTGTGTGCGCCTGCGTGTGCGTGGTGTGTGTTTCCATGTGCACACAAGCAGGGGCTGAGGAAGATCGACGAGATTCTGGCAGAGGCAGATGGGCTCGTGCTGGGGCGAGGCGACCTTGGAATCGACCTGCCTGCAGAAAAGGTACTGATGCCTCTGAGAAACTACTGATGCCTCTGAGAAACTACTGATGCCTCGCTTACTACCAGACCACTGCGAGGCCGGCCAGGTAGCTTAACCGCTAGCACATGCAGGTCAAGCCATTTCTCTCCTTGTCACAGACGAGGAAAACATGCTCCTCCCCTCCTCTGGTTCCCGTATTTGGTTCTGCCACAGCTGATCAAACCCAGCCCAAGTTTCACAGTTCTCTTTCTACTCTACCCAATCCAATCTGAGCAGATGGTTTTTTCCTTTCAAACCCAGATGGAAAAGGTGGCAATATAGAAGGCTGACACACCGGGCATTCCATGTGTCGGCACGTGCTCATTCTTTCTCTCTCCCTCCCGTCCTTCATCCCGCCAACAGGTGTTTCTGATGCAGAAGGTGGCCATCTACAAGGCCAACATGGCGGGCAAGCCATGTGTCATCTCGCGAGTGGTCGACACGATGACAGACACGCCCCGCCCCACCCGTGCCGAGGCCACCGACGTCGCCAACGCTGTGCTGGACGGTGGGTGGGGTGGGATGGGTTGTGAAGTGACTATATCAATCAGTGTGTGTATGAGTAGCGGCTCTACGATTGAATGAATCACATGTGATCACAGTCACACCCCACCCCACTTGAGCTGAAGCCACCGACGTTGTGCAAAATTAGTAAATGGGTGCTGGACGGTGGGTGGTGCAGGGCTGGGTGGTTGGGTGGGTGGGTGGGCGGCCGGGTGGGTGGAAGATTGGGTGGGTGGGCGGGGGGTTGGGTGGGTGGGTTGGTGGTGGGGGTGGTGGTGGTTGGGATCAATAGTCGGTGGGTGAGATTGAGTGACAGTGGGTGCGATTATGCTGGGAGCTGAGATGTTAAGAGGGCTTTCTCTCTCTTCATACTGACGTTCTGTCTTCCGTCCTCGCTCCTCCCCTCGCCCGTTTTCCCCTCTCTAACTTTCCTTTTCATGCTACCCTCCTCCCTGCTTTTGTCAGTGTTTGTTTGTTTGTTTTTTTTTGTGATCGTCTGTTTATGACTTTTTATTGATTTACGTGTCCTTTTCCAGGAGTGGATGCTATTATGCTGGGAGCTGAGACGCTGAGAGGGCTGTACCCTACTGAGACAGTGTCAACTGTGCGCCTCATCTGTTCCGAGGTGTGTTTCATTTCATCTTCGGGAAGGTGCGATTCTTCTGTGCAAAGAAGAGTTTCATGTGATGCAGCTCCATCGAGGTTTCACACGTGAATGCCTTGTCATGTATAGGAGTTCCCCAATCATGCGTGCTCGCACACACGAGCACTTCCGTGCGTGTGTGTCGATGCATTCTCAAGCAAGTTGCATATACTACCACCGCATCCACGATGGCACAGCTCAACAAAAACATTTCCCCCCACCCCCCACCCCTCCGAACCTCTCACATCGGTCTCTCGATTCCATCATGGATTTCCTGCCCTTGCCAGGCAGAGAAGTCATACAACCAGAGAAGGCTCCACTTGAAGAAGGCGGTGAAGGCGGCCAAGCAAGCTGCAGCCTCGTTCTCGTTGTAGTTGCACCGCACCCCAACCAGGTTGAGAGACTTCCAGAGAAACAATTGCTCCGCCTGCTCTCATCTCTCTAATTTTATTTCCCTGCCAGGCCGAGAAGGCGTACAACCAGGAGCTCTACTACAACCAGGCGGTCAAGGAAGCCAACTTGCCGGTGCTACTTCCAACCCAACCAAGAACTCTATTCCTTCCTGCACCCCCCTGCCCCTGCCAGGCGGAGAAGGCATACAACCAGGAGCTCTATTTCAAGAAGGCGGTTAAGGAAGCTACTGACACCATGAGCGAGCTCGAAGCCATGGCCTCATCCGCGGTGAAAACAGCAGAGAAGGTGCATGCAGCAGCGATTGTGGTGTTCACCTCCTCTGGAAGAATGGCCAGGTGAGTCGCGCGTAGTCCTTTCCAGGTGAAGTCAACAGTGGATTCTTTCAGGTGTTTCAGGTATGTTACCTGCCAGTGATCACCTGATGCCCCTGTCAGGCAATCACTCGCTTCCTTCCTCCCACATCGTCCTCCCTCTTTAGCAGACAGATTGTGGCCTCCGGTGTGGGCAAGCTTTGCTTGCTCTTGCCCAACCATGAGCTGAGCATACCTGTAGTAATCCTTTATGTGCTTCCTCCCCTCCCCTGATACCTCTTTCCTCTCTATCCCACGCTCGTGGACAAGTTGAATGCCGTCCATGCATCTGTTACTCACTCTGGTCCTTTCACCTCTAACCATTTCTTCACCCTTTCTCTTTCTCCCACGCTCGCGGTCAAATACAATGCCATCTATGTCTGTGTTGTTACTCACTCTGGCCCCTCCACACCTCTCCCCTCCCTTTCTCTCTCCTCCCTTTCTCTCCCCTCCTCCCCCGTCCACCACCCCTTTTCCCCATCGTCTTCCCCCCACCATGTCAGGCTCGTGGCCAGTGACTAGGCCATCCATGCCCGTGCTCACTCTAACCCCCCTCCACACCACACCCCTTCCCATTTCCCCCTCTCTCCCTTCCCCCCGCTCTCCCTTCCCCCCTCTCTCCCTTTCCCCCACCCCAAAAAAAACCATTCCAGCCCGCTCTCCCCTTCCATTCTCCCACTTCTCTCGCTTCCATCCCCTTCCCAGGCTCGTGGCCAAGTGCAAGCCACCCTTCCTTTGCTCCCCTTCCCTTCCCCTCTCTCTCTACTGTCCCCTCGTTCTCCCCTGCTTCCCAGGCTCGTGGCCAAGTGCAAGCCAACCATGCCTGTGCTCACGCTCGTCCTTCCACGTTCCTCCCCTCCCCCTTTCCCCCACATTGCCCTCACCCACAATCCCCCATGCTAGGCTCGTGGCCAAGTACAAGCCAACCATGCCTGTTCTCACGCTCGTCATTCCACGCCTCTACGTCGATAAGCTCAGATGGACGGTGCAGGGCGAGGTCCCGGTGAGTTTTCTCTTGTGCTCTGTTCATGTTACAGGCCTGCATACCCGGGTGAATTCCCGGTGAGATTTCTCCTTTGCTTTGCTCTGCATGGTATAGGCAAGAATTCTATGGAGCTGTTATACCTTCAAGGCAAGCCAGAATCAGGGATAATGCATTCTAATATTTCTCAATGGACGCTGCAAAAAGAGGCATGCAACGTCCATTGTGCTGCAACGGTGCAACTTATCACTTTCTTTCTGGCTGTGACTCTCCCTCCACTCCACTCCACTTCTTGCAAGAGTCTTAACGGTCCACTTCGCTGCACCGCACTGTCCACATCTCTGCCTTCATCCCTCCACTTGTTCCCTCTGCTGCATGTTTAAGCTGCTGCATCTTGCTTCTATTCAGTTTTTTCATGTCCAGTTTTCCGGGATGAATCTTTGTCTTCATCCCTTGAACCCTCGATCTCCCCTACCCCTCCTTACCACGGCAACAGGCTCACATGTGTTGTCTTATGCGAGGGCTCATCCCCATGATGGCTACACCCAAGACGCTGGTATGTTCACAGTATCGTATAACACAGTTGAAGGTTAATCCAGCGGAGGAAAGGAAACACTTACAACACGAAACAGTTTTGGTCAGTATTGTTCATGACCAGGTCCAGGTTGGGATGAGGTTGTATTTTTGGGCCCTTTGCTATGTGTTCATTGTCCTAGTTCTGTCCAACTCGTTATCGTGGTCTCGCTTTAATGATCTTCTCAGTCTGCCCGCGTCAGCTCCCATGTGGTTGTCTAATTGCTACCGATTTCTAATCTCTTCATCTCACAGGAGCAAAGCGACGTATCCACTAACGAGACTGTTCTTAAGGAGGCCATTCTTCAGGGCCAGCGCATCGGGGTGCTGAGGAAGCACGACAGGGTGGTGGTGGTGCAGAAACTCGGCGACTCTGTTGTTGTTCGAGTCGAAGAGGCCCTTCCTTACGTGAAATAGAAAAAAATTGCCTTTGGAAAATTGCCTTCTACATTTCCTTCTCGGGATCATGGCCTTTTAGATGCGGCCATAGTGTATGAAACTTGAGAATGGCTTGGGCAAAAATAGCTAGGAGGTCATTATTATTAAATGGTGTACCCGGTAGCGTACTGGTTTCCACTTCCGTTATGTTGCACACTCTGAAGGTGGTTTGACTAGCGTTGGATGAGCTTCGGTGGTGAAAGTCAAATCTACTAGTTAGATGTATAGCAGATCAGAAACATTCGGTGTCGTGAAGTTACCCAGTTTATCGAGTGGCCTTTTGGACAAGCGTGATACGACAGCAACATCACCAGTGCGCGAGTGGTTGGTTGGTGTTGCCGTTTCTCGCTTGAGGCTCCAGCTCATAAGATCGACGGCTGTTACCGACCAGAAACATCTGCAGCACTACTTCAGTCCCCGACATATTTTCATGCCAATATCGAATGCTTGTTTCATTAAAGCTCACTGAACCGTTAACTAATCCAAAAAGTGGAGATAAGACCGCTTTCAACCGTGTAAAGCTCAGTGCTTGATGTTATGCCAGTGAAGCTTGAATGAGAGGTGCGAGTGGAGCAAATTCGATACTGTCATGGTGGTTATCAAGCTAATTGCTAGTGCCTGTTTACCAACTGCTTCGTTCTATGGCGTGTTTAGAAGTGTAGGCTATCATTTATTAGTCTCGCTCGGCTTTCTGAGACGATCCGAAGTGCTGGATCGCGATCGGACGTGTTCGACTCGTCTCCTGCTGGCGCGCCGTGCGCTTCTCCCGTTCAGTCCGCGGCTGCTCGTGTTTCCCAGACCCGAATTGTGCCGACCGACGAATGCATTAACGCAATACCGAATCTTTGGTTCCTGCAAATACCGAAAGAGCAGCTTTTCTTGGGTTTCTGGGAATAGTATCTCTCAAGCAGAACGTATTCAATAAGCATCATGCCTGGCTGGCATAATGGGAAAAGACGATAGCATGCTCATAGTAGCGGAATAATGGTGTAGGGCCGTAGCGCGTACACACGCTCAGCCTTGGTTTCACAGATATGACACGCCGTAACCCGCCGACATGACACGGCTGGACCTTAAAACATTCCAGTCTTATAAGCGTACGCAAGACTGACTGAACTTGTAACCTTCCGCAACCGTGCGCAAGACTGACTGGACGTTACAAGACTGGAAGTTTGCAGACAGGGAGAAGTATGCATGGCCGGTAATGCGTAGAAGCGGAGTTAAGACGGGATACGCAATGGACTTGGAATACCCTGTCGTGCTGCGTGAAAGGCGCGCGGAATCCTGTTGGCGCGCAGCACGCATGTTGAGCCGCCTTCTGCTGGCTGTTTGCCACGTGGCCGCCCTCATTGCAGTCACTCAAGCGGGTAATCGCACTCGTGCCCTCCCGTCTCCATGTGGCTCATTTCCGTTGTTCTGTGAGCTCCCCAGTTGGATTGTTTCAAATCAAGAATAGCATCAAAACCAGACAACATCCACGTGTGGTGCCTCTGCTTTCGCCTGGGATATAACACCCGAGCTACCTTACCTCTCTACCCCTCAATCCATGCCTTTTTAACCACAGTGAGTGATTCTACACGTCATTAATTTCAATCCACTCGAGGGATCACGTGCAGTGCTGCATCACGTGCAGTGCAGCACACAGGGCTGCTGCTGGGCTGGCTGAGTGCGCCAGATGCTGCTGATTGAGTCGAGCCCACAGAGATGAAGTTCCACCTCTCTCCTCGCCTGGGCGGCAGAACGCAGGGCCACTGCTCCCCTCTCTCGTCCCCTCTCCAACCCCTCTCTTCCCCTTCCCAACCCTTCTCTTCCCCTCTCCACCCATTCTCTTCCCCTCTCCACCCATTCTCTTTCCCTCTCCACCCATTCTCTTTCCCTTTCCACCCATTTCTTTTCCACTCCACCCATTCTCTTTCCCTCTCCACCCATTCTCTTCCCCTTCCAAACCCACAGCAGATGTAGTGGACAACACAGGGCCGCTGCTGGGCCGAGTGGGTCAACTCCAGCAGCAGCTGCACCACCAGCTGCTGCCCTCCTCCCAAGCCTCCACCCACCCACTGCCCTCCAACCCACACGGTCCGAACCAAGCAGCAGTACGCTCAGAACGTTCTGACCAAGTCCCCCTCTCAGAGGGCTCGAATGAGCGGATTGATCCAGCAGATTGGGAGGACCAAGCCCTAGGGCGTTTGGCGGCAGGCGGACTGGGAGGTGGTGGTGGTGGGCGGAGGAGGGGGAGAGAAGAGGAGCGGAGTGCAGCAGGGATGGTGGATCATGGGGGCATTGTGCCGGAAGGGGTTGTGCCTGATGCGCTGGATAGGCGCATTCCAATGCTCATCCGGTGAGTCTGTCCGCCTCTTGTTACTCTTCCCTGGTGTGCTTGAACAAGAGGGTCTCTCTATGGTCCTGATGCCTGGCTGGGATAGGTAGCTGGTTGGATAAATGAGTAGTAGTAGCGGATTTCGGTGAGTCTGTATGCAAATGCCTGCTCCTCCATGTGCTCTTCTGCTCCTCCACACATCTGATTGACGCACAAACGCAGGCACTTCACTTGGTTTCTGCGTGTGCGCGTCTCTCTACTACCGTCCCTTGCTGCCTGTACATCTGATTTACCCTTCCAACGCTTTTCCCTCCGGCCTTCTCCCCCCACCACTTCACACCCCCATCCCCACCTGCCCCATCCTCCCCACAACCACCGCCAAGAATGAGTCGTGAGCGCCCGCAGTTGCCTGTGAAGCTGCTTGCTTCCACTCGAGATACCATGTGATTCACTTCTCCCCTTCTCCCCGCCCACCCACACCCCATTACCCACACCCTCTCCCCCAGCAAAACATCGAAATGATCTCAGAGCGCCGACAGCTGCATGCGCGTCCCGTGCCATGTGATCCAAATCCCTCTTCCTCCCGCTCCTCTCCACACACACCCACCCCCAACCACCACCGCCATGCGCACCACCACCATCACCAGAATGAGTCTTGAGCGCCTACAGTTGCATCCGATGTGCTACCACATGCCACGTGTTCTTTTCACTTCTTCGTCCAGCTCCCCATCCCCGCGCGCCTCTTCCTCCAACCACCACCATCACCAGAATGAGTCCCAAAGGTCTGCAGCTGCCCCCGGAGGTGCTTCAAAAGGCCATTCGACTCACTCACTCTCTTCTCCCTGTCGTTCCTCCCCCATCCACACCCACACACCCACACCCTCCCTCAACCATGACACCAGAATGAGTCCTGAGCGTCTACAGCTGCTTCTGGAGGCGTGCGCTTCCACATGCCATGCGACCCACTCATTTCCTTTCCCCTCCCTCTCCTTTCCACCTACACCCCCCCCTCCCCACCTCCCCCACCACGTTCACCAGAATGAGTCCTGAGCGTCTACAGCTGCCTCTGGAGGCGCTTCCACATGCCATCGACAGCAGTGAGCAAAAGAATGTCATGCTAGCATACCGAGAACGGTTTGACAAGTACGTGGGCGCCAGGGGTTTAGGGTTGGAGGCAAGAGGGGAGGGTGGTTATTGCGGGTGCTTGCTCGTTCCATCTTGCGGCCATCAACAGCAGCAGCGAGCAGAAGAATGTTATGCTGGCGTTCCGAGAACGGTTTGACAAGTGAGAGGGCGTGGGAAGAGGGGGGGTGGGAGGGTTTGTGCTCGTGCCGTCTTCCCATCATCGACAGCAGCGAGCAGAAGAATGTGTTGCTGGCGCTCCGAGAGCAGTTCGACAATTAAGAGAGAATGGGGGGAGGGGGGGGATGGGGAAAAGGGGTGGTGTTAGGGTGAGGGAAGAGGAGGGAAGTGGTTCGGTGGGTGCTGATAGAATTGGAACTGAACTGATTGATTAGGAAAGAAGGCACTAGGCCTTAAGTACAAACGAGGTTGGGATGGGCAAGGCTAGGGAAAGGATGGGATGGGAATCCTAGCAAATCTCCAATTGGTGAGTTGGCAGATTTGCAGGATTATGAGGGAATCCCAACCAGATAGGGTTGGGATTACAAACTACACCCAACCCGCAAATAACCTACGCGATATAGAATATAGTACACAAAGTGTTGATAGCCTAATTCTAACACACCCCCTAAGCTGCAACACATCAGCCACAAGGAGGCCCGACACCCATGGCCGAGAGGAGGCGGTAATGATCCTCGCGAACAAGCGACTTGGTAAACAAGTCAGCAAGGTTGCAGTCGGAGGCAATGTGTTCAGCCTTCAGCTGCTCGCGCTGCACCAGCTCACGAAGAAAGAAGTGACGGACTTCAATGTGCTTGGTGCGGCCATGGAAAACGGGGTCTTTGGTGAGATGAATGGTGCTCTCGTTGTCACACCAAAGCGTTGGGGTTGGTTGGGGATACCCCAGTTCTGTCAGCAAGAAAGAGAGCCAACAAGCCTCCTGGGCAGCCATGGTCCCGGCATACAGCTCTGCCTCACAGGTCGACAGTGAGACGGAGGACGACCGAGTGGAGCGCCAACTTACAACCCCATTGCCAAGGGTGAAGCAATACCCTTGGGACGAGCCCCGATCACTCTGGTCATCAGCATAGGATGAGTCACTGTACCCCTCAAGGCGAACCGAGGAAGTGTCGCCAAGTGTGAGCACGTAATCCTGTGTGTCTTTGAGATAGCGAAGAACCCGCTTGGCGGCAGACCAGTGGTGGCGAGTGAAGCGACCAGGTGCAACGTAGCGGGACAGTACACTGACTGGATAGGCTAAGTCTGGTCGAGTGCACATCATCGCGTACATGAGGGATCCCACGAGCTCGGGGTAAGGCTCGTCACAGGGCTCAGGTGAGGGAACGGAGGGTGCAGTGAGTTGGTGTTGCAGAGAGAGTGGGGTGGGCATTGATGCTGCTTCCTGCATCTAGAACCTCGTCAGAACGTTGTTGATGCAAAACTTCTGCAAAAGGGTGATGGTGCGGGCTGTGCGATCACGTGTGATTTCCGTTCCCAAATAGTTCGTCAGCTTCCCAAGGTCCTTCATGGCCAGCTTCTCACCAAGTGCGGTTTTGACTGCTGCCAGCTCAGTCTGATCCTTGGTGACAAGGATCATGTCATCGACATAAACGAGGATGAAGAACCGGGAGGGTGTTGCTCGGATGAAGAGGCTGGGGTCAGAGGTGGATGGGTAAAAGTCGAGGGACCCTAAGGTGCTCTTTAGCTTGTTGTGCCATTCCCGGGGAGCTTGCTTGAGGCCATACCCTGGCCGATTCAGCTTCCATACAGTGCCTGGTGGAAAAAGAGCTGGAAATCCATCGGGCCGCTCCATATAGATTTCCTGTCGAAGGATCCCTTGCAGGAACGCAAAAGACACATCCATGCAGTCAACTTCCATGTCATCTCGAGCAGCGACATCGAGAAGGGTGCGCAGTGTGGGAGGTTTGGCAGTGGGAGAGAATGTCTCAAAGAAGTCCAGTCCACGCTTTTGGGTAAATCCCTTGGCACAGTACCGGGCTTTGAAGACAGGAAATTCGCCTGGAAGTTGTTTCACCCGAAAGACCCATTTTCCCTTCACAATGTTGACGCCGAAGGGAGGAGAGACGTCTGTGAAAGTTCCTGTGTGAATGAAGGCCTCACATTCTGCGAAAATGGCCCCCAATCACTGAGCGGCGTGAGGACCAGAGACTGCTTCAGCATAGGTGAGAGGTGTGGGGATGGAGGGGTTGTCGGAGAAATTGAGGGTGGGAGAGTCTGCGATGTCTGGAAAGAGGAAGCAGAGTGCGTGGATGGCTGAGTCGATATCAATCAACTCCTCATGTCTGTCTTCAAGGAGGGATGGCATGAGAGAATAATCACCCCCGACAAGAGGAGGATTGAGAGAGACGCGAACGAAAAGGGAGAACCGTTGTGGAGGTGTGCGAGAGCGGGTGCGAGAAGCGATGGGTGAAAGAGGCGGGGCCGGAGTAGGCGCAGCGGAAGGGGAGGTGGGAGTGGTAGGGAGAGTGGAGACAGGATCGAGATCAGGGGTGGGAGCAGGAGGAGGAGGAGCTGGGTGACGGCGTTGGTAGGTTTTGAGAGGAACGGGTTCGGTAGGAGGAGATGCGAGAGGAGATGGAGGAGGGGTAGCGGAGGAGGGAGGGAGCGAGGGAGACTGTGTGGTACTGGAGGGGGAAGCGGGTGATGGGGGATCAGAAATGGTGGAGGGAGCGGGAAGAGGAGGAGATGGAGTGTCGGGAAGGGGGAGACTGTCAAAGTCAGCCCAAGTAAGAGAGGGAGGCGGAGGAGAGGGGGAAGCCTTGGAGGAGGGGTAGAATGGGTGGGACTCATCAAAGTAAACGTCCCGGCTGCGATAGAGCTTGTTGGTGGAAGGATGGAGGAAGAGATAGTCTGGCGAATCCAAGTTGTGCCCTAGGTATACGCACGTGATCGTGTTGGGAGCAAGTTTGCCGCCAGCCGCACGACGGGCTTGGGAGTTGAGGAGGACATAGGAAGTGCACCCCCATACACGAAGAAGGCGGACGGATGGCTTTTGACCCGTCCATAGCTCAGCGGGGGTGGTGTGGGTGTGATGAGGATGGGGATGGAGATTGTGGAGGGCGGCAGCATGAAGCATGGCGTACCCCCAGAGAGAGGGAGGGGCGGAGGTGTGCGTGAGGAGGCAGCGAGCAATCTGCACCAATGTACCTTTCCGGCTTTCGGCAATACCGTTCTGTTGGGGACTGTCCGGGAGAGTGAAGGTCTGACGAATACCCTCAGTGGAGCAGAAAGCTTTGAGAGTGTTGTTGCGGAATTCACCGCCACCGTCAGAGTGAAGGACCTTGATGGTGGTTTTGAAGTGTTTGTGAGCCTGCTTCGCCGATGACCTGTTCCGCTGCGCCGCTGACCTGTACTGCTGCGCCGCTGAACCTGCTCTGCTGCGCCGCTGAACCTGCTCTGCTGCGCCGCTGAACCTGCTCTGCTGCGCCGCTGAACCTGCTCTGCTGCGCCGCTGAACCTGCTCTGCTGCGCCGCTGACCTGCTCTGCTGGCCGCTGAACCTGCTCTGCTGCGCCGCTGAACCTGCTCTGCTGCGCCGTTGAACCTGCTCTGCTGCGCCGCTGAACCTGCTCTGCTGCGCCGCTGACCTGCTCTGCTGCGCCGCTGAACCTGCTCTGCTGCACCGCTGACCTGCTCTGCTGCACCGCTGAACCTGCTCTGCTGCGCCGCTGAACCTGCTGGAAGTTTCGAATGTGAGAAAATTGCCACGGAAATTTGAAATTTCAGAGCTTACAATGAAGGAAATTGACGGAGAAATGTGCCGCCGTGGAAATCGGAAATGCACGTATGCGGAGCGGGAAAGCGCTTTTGACCAGTGCGACGATGTGAAGACGAAAAACGCTAAGCGAAGAAGGCGTGAACCGAGAACGCCATAGCCGAGAGG